GAACCAATAAAGCTTAAAGGAGGTAAAGGTACTCGTAAAACTGAACAACTTTCTCCATGGAACATGGGTCGAAACATTAAAAAAATTTGAACCTCCCATACAAAATTTATTCAATATGTATGGGACATTTATTGGTTGTTTTGTAAAAGGTGGTATTTAATTTTGCAATTTTCATACATGGTATACGGAACCCTTCGTGTGCCAGCCTGTTTCGCGCTTGGCCAGTTTTTGTACTCCAGCCTGTTTTGTTCAATATTCCGTGCGTAGTTGTTTGTATAGGATTAAGATAAGGGGATTAAAGGAATGGATGCATCTGAACAATTTTGCACGAGATAGAACAATGTAGTATACTATGAAGGTTCATACATGCCGATTCCCACCGGCTTCCCCTTCAGAAATTTACAAATCCATACTCTCACATTTATCTACTTTCATTTTGTATTTTGTTCTGCCCTGGCCTACCTTCGCTTAAATGTGGGTGATATTTCGCTACTGGTAGGAAGATAGGTTGCTATTGTCATTATTTGAAGCTATTCAAACAAACATAATACTGGACCGACGGCCAATGACTGAAAGGTAGCGATTGGTAGCGGCTGGATGGCGAAAACGGGAGATCGTGTCTTGTGACGTACGCTGGGAAAGTCCTACGTGCCTGTAGCTAGCATTGGATTGCTATAGTTTGATGTGTGATGATAAATCTGTGTACCGTAACTTTTGTATGAACATGTAATGCAGCAAAGTAACCACATTCACGACAGAAATACTTGTCGCAAAAAATCTAGATATTTTTATTCTGATAAAAGTTGCCGGTAAACTTTCAAAGGCAGACAAACTTCTCCAATAACGACAAACGGAGAGAAACCGCTAAAACAATCAAACATCAACTTGGTCGCCAATCTTCGTCAGTTGTTTTTCTCGAAAGTTCCAAGAGCAAAAAGAAAGTACTTATTGTTCGCCTAATACAGAGAGGCAGTTACAAGGAAACGTCACTACACTCACCCACACATCTACAAGCCGTCGTTTACGCGAGAACTCGAACTGTTTCGAACCGGCTAGTAGCGAGTGTCAACAGCGTTCGGTGCGGGTGGACGACAAAATGACAACTCTCAAGTTTATATAATATAAAAATATTATTTTTGTATAGAATGTTATAATGTACGTTTGATATAATGTAAAGTACTTAAATACTTGTACATACTTAAATATGTTTGACACGGCATATTCAAAATTTAGAAAAAGAAGGTAGAAACTCTAGAGTGTAGCACACATGATCGGAAGAAGGGGCGAGTTATCCTTCTGTAAATTCTCTAATTTGTGCCTCAAGTCCTCATTTATTTCGCGCGAAAACTTCGCAAATTAGGTCCCGTCCTCATTTCGACTCATTAGGCTGTGTACCGCACACGTGGGTACGTGGGTATCACATTTTGACGTCCTCAGCTGCGTTTTTTAGGGTTTCGTAGTCTACTAGAAACCCTTATAGTTTCGTCATGTCTGTCTGTCTGTCTGTCTGTCTGTCTGTCTGTCTGTCTGTCTGTCTGTCTGTCTGTCTGTATGCGCGCCCTCATATCTTCGTCAGTTTTAGAGCTATCGACATGAAATTTGGAGAGAAGATAGATCGTGTTGACCCAAATAAAGAAATGTTAAGAAAAAAATATTTTAAATGTTTTTTGGACCCCCTCCCATACAAGTGAAAGGGGGGCAAAATTTTTTTTTTCTTTTGTTATATTGAGTGGGATATCGTTGAATAGGTCTTTTAAAACTAAGATGAGGTTTCTTTGAAACACAGTCACTAAAATGTTTCTGTCACGAGATATTTACTTTTAAAAAGGGCGTTTTTGACCCATAATTTGTTCCAGCTGTAACTTCTTAAGTATAAAAGCTAAAAATTTGAAATAAATATGGAATATAGCTTACAATCTGAAGTTACAATGAAAACTATAACGGATATTGTACCCTTAAAGGTTTCAGAAAAAATTGAGTTTTTCTATTTGCGGTTGGTCATCATACTGCTGCTAACAAACCAGCAACAAATTAAGTTTGTAATGCTGAAAAACCTGATATTTAAACGTTGACTACGAAACCCTATTTGTGGGCGTGTCTGACACGCTCTTGGCCGGTTTTTTTCATCGCATGCGGTAGGAAAATGCGAATTCCTATCTTATTTCCATACAAATTCGGTGTCGCATGCGTTCTTCGAGCAACATACCGTCCACATGCGTTACACTGCGATAACGGATGCGAATGTCAAAGGCATTGGCGTCTTTTTTATGGGAATAAGAAGGAAATGCGCACTAACCGGTCAGGGGATGACTGAAAAACAACATAGCTCTGCTGACGTCATCGCATTTTCGGTGCCAACCTGAATCTTGTTAAAATTGTGTGTCATAATTAAATGTTGGCAAGTGAATAAATGTCATTATTATTATTTATTCATAAAGCATGCGACTAAAAGCGCATACGTAACATGTGTGTGATCCCTGCCTATGAGGTGGGTAAAAGGTGGGTGAAATGCGGGTAAAAACATGGGTAAAACGTCTGTGCACGGAGTGTGAACGCACCTGCCCTGAAATATGGTTATGGTTACGCGTGAGGATAGACTAAGTTGAACCGTCTGCGGCGCTCACCCCAAACTGACAATGTTACTTCTGTGGAACAAGTGTCGCGAACTGGAGAGAATAATGAATTTGTTTTAAACAAATTTTTAGACTAGAGACAGGACGAGGAAATCTGTCTAATAGCGACCTTGGGGGATTCCTATGTCAGGCAGTGGACTGCAATAATATAGGTTGTTGTGATACGTAAATTTTCTGGCTTTGGTAGACGAGCTCTGGAAAGGATTTGTTCCTAGGACGTTTTAAAATTAATGTGGGAGTAAACAAACCTTGCCACTGATAATTTAGTATCCTGCTTTAGCTTACATTCATTACGATGAAGATTTATCACAAATACGCACAAAATGTAACACCTCACCCCTGTAATATAACACTACAGGTTGCAGTAACGTAACCTGTGGTTCAAGTGAAACAGCACGAGTGCGAACGCGCCTCACACCTGTGCGGCGAAATATGGTTATAGCACAGATTATACAGGGTGGTCCTATGTGCCTTGACGTCGACAAACAAAATATAGGGTCCAATTTTACTAGTAGTGACCGATACCGTAAACACAGGGCCGGCTGTTGATAAGGAACAACTTTTTCCAAGGAACACAGGTCGAAATATAAAAAATATATATTGGACCCTCCAACAAATTGATTTTATCAGCTGGTACACAAGGATTTATGTAATGTTTATGTTTTATATTTAGGCTCTGTCCGCACAGCGAATTATATTCGCATACTGCGATTTTTTTTCTCGCGCTATATTTTATTTTGTATAAAAATACTAGCGATATTTTCAGTGCGGACACTTATGATTCAGTGTATTATGATATCGCTGTCCTCTCTCTCTCGTGTAGGACACCGAGTCGTTCAACGACCCTTATATAGAGCCTTAGACTTCACTGTACGGGTCACCCTGTATAATAGCATAGGGTAGTTATAGTCACCGTTTGTTTACCGCCTCGCGTATCACTTGAGGGCAGAGCAGGCAACGATACAGAGTAAATAAGGTGATTGTTGTTATAGTCCCTTAGTACAGGGGCATGAGGCAGGCAAATCATTAAGTATTCTGCACAAATCTCGAGCGACATGAAACTAAGTTATAACAACGAAAGTATAGTAAAGACTAAAAAGCGACAAGACTCAGTTACTACCGCCAAGTAAAGATGCTTAAGATGGTTGATTTAATTCAGTGGCGAACCTAGTAACACCTATAAAAGAAATACATTTTTATCCCACGTAAGAAAAAAGATGTTTCTTTACCTAACCTACCTAAAATGTTACCTAACCTACACACTCACTGACAAAAATGTTCTTTAGAAAAATATCAGACACTTCGACCTTCTTAATCTCTAAATCTCTAGGAGTAAATTACCTATTCAACGAGTCCAGTTATATCCCCTTCAAGTACCTAATCAATCATATCAAATCTCCCAGCAACGTGCCCGTCAAAGTATTAAAAACACATTAAGTTACAAACTTTTTCCAGACTCATTCAGAGTAGGTCTTGCGATACCGTTTTTATCGTATGTAGGTAGGCTTTAATATCCATTACCTTATTGTTTAAGTATTTTGTAAAGCTAAACATGCATAATATTTAAAATAAGTGAAGGCAGGATTACATACCTTACTATACCTAACACAGTTTACTAGATCTACTTATCAATGCTTTCAATTTGATTTATGCCATTTAAAGTTCATGAATAAGTACTAGCTAGGGTAGGGTATTTAGATAATTCTTTTAGGAAATGCAATGAACATCAAAATAAACACAGTGGTAAAGCGATAAAGTCTGTGTATTACTTGCTCCCCTACTCGCACATCTTAAAGATAAGCTGAGTGCGTAAATATACGAAAACCCTTGAACAGAACTAACGACGCGTGCTGAAGAGTATTGAAAATTTATTCTAAGTACGCCAGGGCGTTTGATGGTTAGTTATGGTACTGCCTGCGCTTAACACTGCCACTTTACTTTGGCCTCTATATCCCAACTTTATCCACCAATTTCCTAAACCAAGACGGGTCAGCTTAAATTGGTAGCATGCTGAGTTGCTTCGCAAAACTCGTATTGCAAAAGACGCGTGGTGTTTACCTCTATTTTTTGGATTGCAAACAAGAGTTTATTTCAGTGGTGTTAACATGAAATGTAGTCAGAATTTCAAGTGAACGGCGGAATGCATTTTTCGTATCACCATTTCTGTGGAAACGAAGAGTTGTGTCGTGCGAGGTGGAAATTCTCGCCGAATGTTGCGGATGTTTCACTTTAAGAGAGAATTTTCTAGATACGAGTACGATGCATTAAATATTTAAACTTTTCTACGAGCTATTGTGATTGCTGTAAACGGTTGTATAAAGGAACACATTTCCTCTTATAAATGAAAACAAGAAATTGAAAAATGTTGGCAGCGGTCAGGACTTAAACCTGGAACGTGAGGTACAGTCCCACTACTCTACCAATTGAGATACCGTCACCTTAATCACTACTACAAATTTTTCCATTTCTTAATGCTTTATCGAAGACGACGACATTTTCTCTTATTTTAGAAAAGAAACACTTTTGATTCAACTAACACGTACAGACCGATTTTTTCAATAACCCCCGTCAATCCACCATAACCGTGCAAATCTGGAAACCCTTACGCATCAGTGCAACACCATTCGTCTCCTTGGAGCGGGATAATGCGAAAAATGTGTCGCCGGTCAGCTCGGCCTGCCTTCCATCATATATCACTGCAGAATGGTCAACAGGGGCGAGCTACCTACTTATATAGCGTGAAATTTTACTTGTGACCGATAGAGAAAACTCAGAACCAGCTGGTGATAAGGAACAACTTTACCCAAGGTTTTTATAAAAATATTTAAAAAAAATATTAAAAAAAAATTTGGATCCCTATAGTAACTCAAATCAGCTGATCGGCAATTTTGTATGGGAGGTCCAAAATATTTTTTTTATATTTCGACATATGTTCCTTAGGGAAAGTTGTTCCTTATCACCTGCCGGTTCTGAGTTTTTGCTATCGGTCACTAGTAAAATTTCACGCTATATATTTTGCTTATGATTATCAGTAGACTTATTCGTTTTAGTAGACGACAAAAATGTGTCGCCGGTCAGCTCGGCCTGCCTTCCATCATATATCACTGCAGAATGGTCAACTGGGGCCAGCTACCTAGGTATACCGTTATATACCGGCTTAAGATTATCGGTAGACTTTTTCGCAAAAGAGACAACATTGCCTAAAAATAACAAGCATTATAAGTATGGCAACCTCCCCAATAGGTGAAAGAATATGTCTAGTATTGACTGGCTAAAACTGTAGAAGTTGTCTGCAATGGAAAATTTAGTAAGTTCTCAAAAAATTATATTTGCTTTACTTGTAATAAAAATAATAGGCTGTACTTACGAATCCTTAACCTAGTTTGTAAACAATGAATAATTTAACTTAAAGATTTCCGATAGGGACCGGAAGTTCAATAACCTGTCACAAGGGTCGAGTGGAATCAAGTGTAATTTGTTCCCGAATCTTTGGAAATTAATTTCTGACGTTTTACCTGCCGAAAAGTAAAAATTAAAAAACTTTATTGAAGCTTTCCCTGACTAAACTTTTGAAGACCTCTAATTGGTTTCATAATAGACAATCAATTCGTACTTTTTGAGAGAGGTATCCATGGCGACTCACAGTCTTAAGAAAGCGTTTCTCACAGGTTCCGTGTTTTTTCAGATCTGATTTTGATTAGAAATGGCTTTCATTTACTTTTTAAGGACCTACAACCAATTTTGCAAACGAAATTCTTCCGAAAAACAAGAAACTTTTGCTGCAGTGCGATCATTTTTTAAATTCAAAATGCTGCTGTAGAATCTACTACGAGCCGTAGCGTTCAGCTACGCCGCCTACGGCGTAGAGCAGACAATTAATCGCATGAAGCACTCTTTTGCTCCACCAGATATTCTCTAAAAAGCTTCTGATGGTTTTTTTTTATGTGCGAGATTGCATATTACAAAAGTTGGATACAAAACGATCGTGTGCAGTGTTGTCTAGTTGCCTGTTTTCAATGACTGCAATGTAAATGGACCACACTTAAGTACGAAGCGGTACACTAAAAGATAGTTTTTTTTTGTAATGGGTTTTATGTTCTCTTTCAACTTTTAAGTAGATAACATACATTTTCATTGACCATGACTACATGTATGTATGTGTAAACATATCACGCAAATAAATAGTTTAAATATGACATCGACTCGAATGATTTGAAAATATGACATGCCTAAAAATTTACAATATCTTTTATCATACTGCCGTATTAAAGGTATTAATCACCGTCAATTGCATGAAAGATCTTTCTCAGTCTGTATTTTACAACATAGCGCTGCTGCGTTTTATGAAAACAGCTACCGAACTATTTTCAGCTCTGAAACCATTCGTTCAAAGTTTCTATTCAAACTGGCACTGGGCACGGTTTGTGCTAAGGTTTTATGTCTTTCTACATACGATATTATCGAGGGTAGTTACTGTTACGAACGGTCAGTTTTCAATGGTAGCAATACCAGCAATCGTCGTTCAGTTGCGGTGTTAAATTAAAATACTAGAATGGTTCTACCATTCACTCTCATTCGGTCTCGATCCTTTGCTATTAAAATGTTCATTCATTCAAATATCGTGCTCTGTTCGAACCGCTATTTAAAATAGAGGAAACTGTAGGGTTTATTATTATTGCTTAAAATTAGGGGTTTAGGATTATTTCGTAGGCGGAGTAGGGAAAGGTAGTTTTAATTATGGTCCGAATTATGGAATTGACTATTTGAGAAGGCTTTTATGACCCTTTTTATGAAGCGGATTTTAGTGTTTTGTGTTCTATAACAGTTTTTTTATAGGCAATTAATATTCTTTTCTTCATAAATATGAAATCAGAGTTAAATGACATCTTGATGTATAATTCTGACATTAGGGTTCATCGGGGCGGTGTCCCACAAGAAGAAGAAGTCTGCTCGTTTAATGAAATTACTTTCACTGGCTGCTGAATTCCATAAAAGTACCTAATGCATATAAAAAAATAAGAAACCAGAAACCGCCATCACCAGCATGGTCAGAAAATCAAACAAAACAAATAAAAGTCAACAGTGAATATACAGGGGGGGCTCGGAAGTAAACACGTGAACTTATAACAAGCGTGTAACGGCTCGGGTTGGCTCTGGGAAACTTGGTAATGAGATATACCCCGCAGCTACGGGTTGGACACATGCTGTATACAAGGTGTCAGAAAAACTGGGCAATATTTCGTCGAACGGTTTACTCAACAATACTGAACGATTTTCTGTAAGATTTTCGGAAAACAGCGAACAATGAAGTTCACCGGTTGACATTTCAACGGAGATGAACAATTTGTTTCTTCTAAGTACCTACTCTAAGAAAAGCGAATAAAAACACAGTTTGCATTAGGTACTACACAAATTGACCTGAGCAAATAAGTACACAAATGTGATAATCAATTTTGGGCCCACCCCGAATTTCCCAAATTCGGGAAACGGTATTGTATGAAATTCTTACTAAAACTAAAAATTATGATTGATTTTTTTATCACAATATTGCAAATATCATCTTTATACGAAACGGGAATCCCGAATTCAAAATTAAAAGTTTTTTTTTTTTACTTTATGAAATGTGGCAAGCATTATTATTTTTAAGGCTATTGACGCTCTGCCTACACCTTAAAGGCTGTAGGAGTGATTTTATGTGTTTCAATATCAGTACTAACTCACATTGGAGCAAAATGCTATCAAAACTGTTAATTTTAGATTGCCTATGTAATTTTTAGGTTATGTTGTATTTTGCCCCGTTGCATAATTTAAAAGTATTTATACCAGCATAATCTGGGTAGTACAAGGAATATGTACTACGAGTTTCATGACCATACATTTTGATTTACGAGGCATTTGTGAGGGGCCTAAGCTAGTATGGCCAATTGATTATATCCTTTGCACAGCCGCACGAGTGCTAGTGCCTCTGACACTAATCAAGTAGTTGAAAGCAGAAGCATTCATTTGAATTCAAATTATCTGAAATTGTAATTATAAGTTTCAACGAAGATGAAAATCTCATTACCAAGCTTATGGCCCAATAATACTTAGATGAAACACTTTATAAAGAAACTAGCATTCGCCTCGTGGTTTCACTCGCGTTTTTTTTGTTGTGAGTGTCCCAGTTTTTCTGTTCGTTATTGGGAATGAAATGTTTTCCGCGGTAAAATGTAGCATATTTGGCTCTCTAGCTTCTCAACTAACAACACATACCTAAATGCCATGACATAAATCTTTTAGTTGTGACGGGAAAGAAGCAAACAAACCCACAAATCAATTTTAATAATATTAGTATTGAATCTAAACTAACACCCTGTACCTGCTTAATCTTAAGAGGGGTAAATCTCTGTTGTGTGATTAAGGTGGTATTCTTAAGATCCGTTATCAGCAGGGGCCCCCGCGTTAACGACCAAGGGGAGGGAAGAATAGTTTCAATCAATGGTATTTACAGGTTATTGTAAGCTTGTCAAACGTTATGAACGTTTCGGTTGCCTTTTAATCTTTTGTGCACCCATTTTTAACTCTCTACTTGAGCTTTCATTCATCTAAGCTACGGTTTCTAATTTAGTCACGGAATTTGGGTTTTTAGTGGAAAACGACCTTGAAACCCTTTCCAAATAAAATGTATGAAACAGAAGAGACAAAGTTACACACGTAAGACGCGCGTCGCATCAATGGCGGCCGACGATCACTTGTCTGACAGATGTCATCCCATACGTCACATGTCTCCTCAGTGGAGCTTGCGCTTTAGAATAAGGTCTCAAAGGGTTTGCTAACTGTCTGTCATACAATAGGTCGGTAAAACTGCGCTTTAAAAATGTTACCATACGTAATAAATCAATCACTTACACCATTTTAATCGTCGCTCTCCTATAACGGAGTTTTCTATAAGTATAAATCTACCGTTATCAATGAGAGAAACCCAATTTAATATCAAAAGCTCCTCAAAGCTCGGTTTTACGAGGGAAAAATATTGCATTTATTTCGATACGAAACACAAAGTTCAAAAGTACAAGAAGATTGTCGTCGAAATAAAAGAAAAGACATCAAACACCTAAGCCCTACGCTGTCGATCATATATTAAAACTTTTTGACCGACTCGCCAAAACGAGAGGTTATAACTTATATTAAATCTTGCGTTCGCCGAAAATCTTTCACACTCTAGCAAGAAATACATCCAATAAATAAAATCCTGAGACTTTTTAAACAAGTAAGACGAGGCGATCTGAAGCTAAGTAAGTTTATATGAAAATAAATCTGCGGCGCTTGCAAAATATGTAGGTTACTTTACAGCCACAACAGTCCACTGCTGGACATGGGCCTCCCCCGTATTGGGGGTATTGCCATACTCACCACGCTTGGCAGGCGGATTGGCGAGCGCAGTGCAAGATGTTTAATT